GACATGGGCACCAGCGACCCCCGTGACCCAAAATGGAATAAGCGGGTAAAGAAAATGGATGGATGGACGGATGGATGTTTTAGAGAGGAACCATCCTGTTGTCAGTCTTCAGTCAAGCTGCTGGCTCCTAATGGAAGTGGTTTGGATAAAACCTGGCATGGGATCTATAAGATATTTTGGGGGGGGGGAAATGTTTTTCCTTCCCTCACATGCTTTTACAGCCCTGTCAACATTCCAGATTTGCTCATAAAACAGAATAATTGCTTTAAATGATACTTGAACAGTTTGGAATGGTCATTTCTCCAGTATTAAACCTCATGTCACTGTGTCCCACTGTGGGACTGACACAACCAAACACAAATAACTGCTGTGTTAACAATCATGCTATTTTTTAGATTTTTTTTGGCAGCAATTACAAGAGATATTCAAAAAATGTTACTGGTTGTTCATGAAAAGTGAGAACACAAATTTTTGTTTAAATTGAAAGCACTCTGTGGAAGCAAGTGGTCGATGTGTCTTCCTTCTGAGTTGAGCTGACTGCAAATAGTTTATGTCCCTTCCAGCCTATTTATAGTGCTGGCCCTCACAACAGTGTCCTCTGTAACTCGACTCCATCTGTTAAGTCAGACCTTGTTGAATTCAGCCGTCAGGAGCAGAAGCAGCACAGTTTCTCGCTGACTCTCACTCGGAGCCTCATGGATTTTGTAGAGTGGCTGAGACCCTCTGAGGCCTGCAGCCTCCTAACAGTCCCGAGCCTGAGCTCCTTGGACGTAGACGAGGAAGAGGGTGAGGATATAATAATCGGCATCAGACCTAAATCTTCTCCTATCCCATCGAGAAAATCTTCGTTCACAGATGAAGACTCGGAGGCTGAGCCTCCTCCTCTCTGTGGCTCCAGAAGAGTCTCATTTGCAGATGCCAAAGGCCTCAGCCTGGTGCAAGTGAAGGAGTTTGATACGAAGGATGTCCCAAAACGACCAGGATTTGATTCTGCAGCGGTTGACGTTTCAAATACAATGGAGTATTTCCTCTTACCTTTAACCTTTTCCCTGCCGCTGCCATCTGATGAGCTGTCCACCCGAGTTCTGGAGCAGAAAATAGAGCTGGAAACAATTGAATTACTTACAGGGACCACAATACTGAAAGGAGTGGTACGAGTTCTCAACATCTCCTACATTAAATCAGTTTATGTCCGAACCACTTTTGACAACTGGTGTAACCACTTTGACCTTCTGGCGGAATACATTCCTGATACCAGTGGCGGTGTGATGGACTCCTTCTTATTTAAACTCACTTTAGTACCTCCGTTTAGGGATCAGGCAACCAGAGTGGACTTTTGTCTGCGCTACGAGACACCCGTGGGGACATTTTGGGCCAACAATAACAACAAAAACTATGTGCTGTTCTATTCATGCAGAATGAAGGAGGAGAAGGAAAAAGGCCAAAGAGAAACTGTTAACAAGAAAAGCTGCCTGAAGACTGTCAAGTAAGGACAATTGGAGGCTTAGTGATGGAGATTTTTACTATCTGTACTTTCCTTGTAAAAGACTTTAGTGTACTAACTGTGAAAAAGGAGTCTTGCCTTGGGTTTTTGTAGAACCTCAAGGCAGTGAAGAGTTGTCAGATTTTATAATCAGTTTGTATTCCTTTGATCTGTTATTATTATTACTATTATTATTATCACGATTTGAAGCTAAATGTTGCAATACCTATTTATACCACTAGGTGGCAGGAGCCACCTGGTGGTCTGATGTGGCTGTGCTGCCACATCAGTGTTGTCAGAGATTTATCCATCCATCCATCCATCCATCCATCCATCCATCCATCCATCCATCCATCCATCCATCCATCCATCATCTTTACCCGCTTCGTCCTTTTTTGGGTTGTGGGGGTCATCAGCGGTGCGCATGTCCAGCAGTCACTGTGTGAGGGGCGGGGGACACCCTGGACAGGTCTCCAGTCCATCACAGGGACACATAGAGACAAACGAGACAAACAACCGTTCACTCTCTCACTCACACCTAGAAACAATTTCGAGTTACCAATCAGTCTAACGTACATGTTTTTGGTCTGTGGGAGGAAACCGGAGTACCTGGAGAAAACCCATGCGTGCATGGAGAGAACATGCAAACTCCACCCAGAAAAGTCCCCGGACCGGGATTTGAACCTGCTCGCTGAGAGGCAGCAGCTCTATCAACTGTTCCACCGTGCTGCCCGCCAGAGATTTATACTTATTGTATTTATATGATTATTTTGAGGTTTATACAATATACAGTTAAAAGTTTGTTTTTTTAATAGCATAACTATACAATAGTTTTGGTATTTCTGTGCATAAAAAAACAAACAAACAAACAAACAAAAAAACGTGTTTTTTGGAGGGTTTTTTCATGTGAACATCCACCTGTCAGAAAGTCTGATCCTACCTGTCAAATACGCACCACCCCCACCTTATATGATAGTTAAAAAAAGATCATTTTCATTTATTAATTATTTCAACCCACAAAGTTTAAATGGAACAGTCAGAATAAAAAATCAGATTCCAAAAACATTGGTAAAATCTCTTTTTTGTTGTTGTGCTATCTAAAGCATCAAGGCATGCACAGAACAGTCATTGTTTTGGAAACAGGTTATAAAAATCTCAGGTTTCTTCATTAAAACACAAAAAAATGAGTATGGCTTGAAAATGACAAATTGTTGATGCATTTGTAGCTTCCATTCAAGTCTTTAAAGAAAATTTTGATTTTATCATGCAGATTTAAATAAAAATGTTGGAGGGGAGTGGTGGCGCAGAGGCTAGAGAAGGTGGGCCTGTGATCAGAAGGTCACCGGTTCAACTCCCTGGACCAACAGCATCAAAATGTGTAAGGAAAAGGTGAAACACCCACACCTGCCTCCACCCTCATTTGCCCCACTCTGGGCCCTTGAGCAAGGTTCTTAACCCCCAATATCTGCTCCTCCGGGTGCCCTAGATAGCTTATTTAACCTCTGCCTCATGTATTCTTGGTCCTGCCTCCATCAAGCTTTGATTGTGTTGTTAATGAGTGCACACTATAAACAGGATCAAAATGAAAATATTTTCTGTAGAATCTTTAGCCAAGGTCAAAATGTTCTCTCCACATTTTACATTAACGTAGATGTTCTGGCCATTCATCGCCTGGCATTGGTGTGGCATTATTTCATTCAGCATTTTGTAAGAATAATATAAATATTCCATAAAAGTACACAAACAATCCTCACACAAAAGTTTAGTTTGGCTGTGGCTGCCTGGTGGTCAATCTAGTAATCCAGAGGCTGCCAGTTTAATCCCAGGTAGTGGCAGGAAGGGCTTGTGGTGTAAAACAATTGCCAAACAATCTCTGTGCTAGTTTGCAGTCCCTGCAGAAGGGATACAACGAGTGTGGACAGGGTTAAGTTGGACTAACGGAAATTATCCTGATGTGCTGCCAATTCAATTTGTGAGGGGCTAAATGAAACACATCGTCAGAAAAGTTTGTGAACACCTTAAATCTCATTGTTCTGTTGTGTCGATTGTTTAAAAGAAAATGGAAGAACAAGACAAGAAGTCTGATTGGTTTGAATTTGATTAATTCACAGCCCAAGTGTCTCCGCTGACAAAACCATTTCACTAAAGCCGTCTTCATCTCTGGACAGCATTTCATCAGGTGACTTGTTTTTCTAATTGTGAAATGAAAAATAGTTTTCCCAGTCAAGACACAAAAATGTTTAAATGTTGTAGCTGTAACGCCATTAGAAAGTGCCTCTTTGTTTTAGATGAGTCTACACCTCAGCTGGAAGGGGACAGAACTGCGGCTCAGAAAGCCCCTGAATCTCTGCTGGACGCACCAAAGGAAGAGGAACAGAAATTATTGGTCAGTCACATTTTGTCTAACAGCTTTTGACACAGTTTCATGATACTTATACCTGCCCAGGAAAACATTTCTTAGTGAGGAAAGGAGCTTTAGAACGTATAAGGAATAGAAAACTAGGCATGACCCCTGCTGACCTTTACGTAGGAATGTCTGCATCAATGTTAACAGTGTAACAGAACGCACCAAGCAGCTAAAGGGCACATTGTACCAGCTGTTCACACTTCTTCACTGCCTCACATTTTCTTCAGCTGTATCCTGACACAAGCAGCCCTGACATACAGACATTTTATTGTAACCAGTCACCCCACTATTTGTCACCACACTCTCTTTATTACTCAGCAGAACTATTGTGTGCTAAAAATAAACTCTCCCTATTGATGGACAGATGGAAAGCAGACAGAGCAGCAGTCAACAAAGGCAGAGGAAAGCTGCACAGATGGCCAGAGTGAGGGACTACTTGGCTCAGAGAGACCAAGGAGTCTCTGACAGAAACAACCCATCTTCAGGAATAAAGCAGATGACTTGGGTGGAAAATCTCAAGGACAAACATGGTTGTGTGCAGGAGAAGAGTGAACCAGAGTGTCATCTGTTTGTTTCTGAAGCTCACAAAACATGCAGCCAACCTGTCTATAACCACACATGCAGCAAGCAGCCAGAAAAACCCGACTCGGCTGAGTTGGCACGAGGAGAGTGTGCCACAGATCTCCCAAATGAGCGGCTGCATTCAGCTGATCAGGATGCTACTACAGAAGAGGAAAATCCCAGGGGGTTTCTCACAAAGACTCAACATCCAGACATGAGTGTTGCATCCATGAAAAACACAGCAGCAGGTCTGGCAGGGCTTGTTGGCCACAGCAACAGCAGCACCAGGCTGTATCATCAGGGCTTCAGTGGGGCGTTAGCTGAAAATCCAAATGGGAAAAGTCCTGTAAACACTCCAGTAAATAATCATCCTTTCAAAATAAAAGAAAACTGTGATATTGCTTCCAAAAATACCAAAAGTAACACAAGCAACTTGAAGAGAAATGTTTCTGAGAATCTGGACTTGGACAATAGAGGTCCCATGTTGACCACTTTTAATGACACAAACATGCTTCAGTGTGCAGACACTGTGCAGAAGGCAGACCTGAGAGATCCAGATGCATCTCAGAGCCAGCAACATCTTTCAGCAGATGCATCAGAGCATCTCGGAATGGTAAATTCTGTCTTAGTTAAAGATTTCTTGAGTCCACATGCATTCTCTGAAAGTATGCTCCTCCAGGAAATAGCAACGGGACAAAAATTAACCTTAGACTTGAGCAGAGGAATCACAGCTGATCCACAGGAGTGGACATGTGAACCACTTTTAACTAGTGAAAAGAGTCCTGCAGGAAAAACAGATACAGTTTCCAAAATGTTTCAAAGTAAGCAGACCACCCTAAAGGGAGGAAATGAGAGAAAAAATGTGAGTAAAAATGATGATGCTCATAACAATGTGGCTTTTACAAAAATCTACACAGTTTTAAATCCCCCACCAAACAATAACATAGTTTCAAAAAGTGGCACAAATGAACTTGTTTCTCTTTGTGGACCAGAGAAGATAAATCTCACATCACCTGAAATATGTCAGCAGGAAAATAATAGCATTGAAGAAATTAAATATATTATGAGCCCACAAAAAGGAGATAAAAACAACTCTGTTGAGGTTAAGGCCATTTGTGAACCTGCTGGGTTTGTGATAAGGAACCAAAATGGTCATGCAGAAAAATCTGAGGGACCAACAGATGAAAACCATCCAGACAAAATGAAGTATTGTGTAGCAGAAGCTGTTATCTTAAAAGAGGATGAGACTGTCCGTTCAACAGACAATACGTGGGTGAAAAGCTATGATACAGTGGTTGAAGAGAAAGAAAACAGCACTGTGACAAGTGAAGAGGAAGATGAGCTGCTAACATCAAAAGCTGAGAACAAGAAAGCAATGGAGAAAGATACTTCACAGAGGATTGAGGAGAAAATAGTAGAGAAGGGGGCAGATGACAAAGTGCATGTGGACAAGGTGGACACCATGGCAGTGATAAAAGGCATGGTGTGGTTGAGTGAGGATGAGACCGCAATGATTTTAGTTGATAAAGAAACCAAATTAGAAGATGTTGGAGTTTTCATGGCAAAGAAAAACACTGATGAAGACAAAACACAAACAGCGATGCAGGCATTGCACGACTTTCTAGAGATGCAGCAGGTCAGCACTGAAAAGAAATGTGTCCAAGATGAAGAGGAGATGGAGAAAAACATGAACATGTCCTTAAATTATGATGGTGAAACAGATGAGAAGCAGGAGAATCAAAGAGAGACACATCAGGAGAAAATAGACTATAGGGATGAAATCCTAGCTGATGAGACAGCAGCTACAAACTCATGTGTGGCAGGAGATGAAGATGGCTGGTCTGAGGAGATGTTAGCAGTTGCAGAAAACAAGGCGGAAGATGGTTTATCTGCTCTGCTGAGCAGTGAGTTGGAGGTTATGAAAGAAAGCACTAAGGATGGGTCCTGGATCCTGACCGAGACCCTTCTTTTCGAACATGCTAAACATGGCTCAACTGAACCCCTTGCTTTAGAAAATGTTTTAACCGATAAACTTGAAAGTGACCAGGTGAGCCACAGCAGCAGCTCAGCAGAGTCCAACTCTGATGACGAGGTGGAGTTGTACATGCACTGTCTGCGGGCTGCTGGTGCATCAACACAGGCCCGTAAAGACATGATCAAAGATGCAGGTTTTACTGTGAGCAAAGGAAAATTGTTACTGCAACCCATGCCCCTCATCAGCGAGTCTCTAGATGAGGGTGTCCCACTCAGTGACCATTTGGAAAAGCCTGAAGATATGCAAAAGACAGAGACAGGTGGACAGGACAACACAAGCCAAGGTGTTCAAAGGTACAAAGAGACATTTTTGTGCTGCAGTCTCTCAAAAGCACCGTTATACTTCGCCTTATTAGTGATATTTTTAGTTGTGGCTCATCGTTATGATTTTCTTGCCTGCTTTGGTCTCTACTTGTTATCAATCATTTGGCTCTGCTGTCAAGGAGAGAGGGAACCGGGTAAACACAGTGACAAAGCAGGCTGAAAGAAACAGCAGAAACCAGTTTTTAATAAGGACACCAGAGCATTAAAATTTAAATATGTCACATACCATAATAAGAGAGAATGCTTAATCTTTGTTGCCAAGTATAAAACATTTGTTTTTTGTTCCCTCATTCCTTATCACAAAACTAAATGTCATTTGGGCAGGATGCTACTGAACAATGAGCTTTCGGAGGTGTGAGTGAAAACCAAATGTATGCTGTGTGTATTACTTTCAATAAAAAAATAACATTTTGCGTTATCATAACAAAGCAGTGTAGAAACTACGTAACAGGCCAATATTTATTTGAGTCTGCTTTTACTGCAGTGTATAAATATTACTGCACTAACACATGCAGCCAACTGAGGAGAAAAATACTTTTAAGTATTTCCATCCATTATCTTTTACCCGCTTCTTCCATTTTGGGTCACGGGGGTCACCAATGTGCACGTCCCACTGTGTGAGGGGCGGGGACACCCTGAACAGATATCCAGTCCATCACAGGGACACAGAGACAAATGAGCCAAACAACCATTCTCTCTCTCTCTCTCACACACACCTAGGGCTAGAGAGCACAGGGGGTCGCATAATATGTCTGCTTAGAGGTCGTAAAATTGTCAATTTATTGTCAGTGTAAGAACTTTCGAAAATATGCTTTTATTTTTAATTATAATGTTTGAAATTTCACCAAATCCTGATCAACACTGTAGAACCCTCATTTTGGTTATGTTTGAAGTAACGTATTATGTTAAAAATTAAATCTGTACTGTCACTTTAAGAGCGCTTTGTTATGATGTCAGTACTCAGCATCCAGCTCTCAGTCGGCAGCACCATAGACATCATATAAAAGCTAGATAACATAGATATAAACACTAGATACAGCATTGACCACTATTGCCTATTGGCGCTGACAAGCTGTAGGGCCGCCATCTTGGAACGGTCGACCGCTCCACTCAGTGTTACCTGTTTGACGGGAGCAATGAAGTATCTGCACATTTAATCAGTCATAGCTGAATACTAAACTCATTCTAATGATTTTTTTCCCTGTAAATCTTAGACATACAGCCATTTCAGCTGAACACATGGTTCAGTGTTTTGAAATATTCTTGGTGGGGTTAACATTAACACTAATAAAATATTCTTATGACAAGTT